TTCGTTTTCGTTGCCCAACCACTTTCCCCACGCCGAGATCAACTTATTAAACCGTTCGGTTTCACGTTCAAAAGCAACTTTTATAAGCGCAAACTTTGGACGCAGGCTGAAACGAAAATTTCAAAAATTTCTCTCCCAGGTTAACGAATTGAGGTCTCGGCGAACGCGAAAATCGAAGAATAGGCGAGTAAAAGAGACATTGTTTTCGGGGGCTAGGGGCTACTGGCGACACGAGGGATTTACGACGATTCGTCCCGTAGGGACGGGCAAATGCACGTCTCGGGTGCACCTACCTGAACGTCGCAGATCCCAAAATGTTTAAGAGAGGGCTCGAAGCGCAGTAGCTGTCCTCTATATACCGTGAGCATCAGAATTAGCTAGTCGAACAACTTGGACAACCTAGCTTCTTTGCTAAAGACTATCTCTCGGCCATCAAACTCATTAATTCGACCAAACTATTCCTCTTCGATTTTGATTATCGATAACTTCTGGACTCGATGTAACCATCGAGAAATAACGTGAAATAACTGTGTCGAGAAGTACTGCAGCATTTATTAGCCAGCATAAAAATGCGACACCGAGGGACGTCGTTGAGAAGGACTTTCCACAAAATAAATAGACACTCGAAAAAAAAAAAAAAAAGTCGTGGGGCACGTTGTATTGTGTACCTGGGCCCTCTCTTTCTCCGCTCACCTGTTCTCCCTCGCAGTGTCAAGCATCAGGTGCGTCCTGCGCAAAGTCCCTTCCGCCCCCTCCCCCTCCGCGCCTCTCGGGAGTATGCACTCGGCTTAGACACGCCACACCGGTGTGCGTCGGAAACGAGGCTAACGGCTACACAAATCGCGTTCAATTCAAATGTAATGCGCTCCCTCATCGGAACAGGGCTCTCCTACGGCGATGATTACCAAATATGACGATTCAGGATTTCGGATAAAATTGAATCGCCACAGTGGGGCGGGCATTTCTTTTTCGCCTCGCGATCTCCAGAGTCAGATTAGAAGCTTGCTGGAGGAATGGCATAGGGATGCCGCAACGCTACGTGACCGTTAACATTAGGCGCACGCACGTAGGATACCCATTCAATGGCAGAGATATAGCGCTGATTGTGGAATATTCATTGTGCCCTGAAAAATTAAATAATACCGCCGGGGATATGCAGGAAGGATAAGCGCAGCCGTGTCTTTTTTTTCCTTTCTCACGGCGTCGCGAGCTCGAGCCAGGGCTCTGAGCGAACACGCCGGTCGACGAATCGTCGGAGCGCGCTTTAAATTGCTCGACGGCCCGACGCGACGACGACGCGCCGCGAGAAGCGATCCATCGACGAATGGAGAAGGCGGTAGCCACTTATCAAAGCTAGGCGCGCGCCACGCGTGCGTTTTATAGACTGTGCGCGCGTCCGAAAAAAAGGAAGGCTCGTTGGAGGACAGAGAGAGAGAGAGGATTTCCCGGCTTTGGCGTGGCCATGCCAGTTGGCTGGTCGGTCGCCGCGTGGTGGGGCACGAAGCCGCCGCGGCGCGCTCGCCGCGCTGCTTCTCTCGTTCCTCAGTCGCCGCGGGAACACGCGATCGCCCGGACGAGTCCTCGGCGCAGCTCGCCTCGAGCTTTTTTCCGTTGTGCGCTGCGCGCGTGCTCTCGTCGCTTCTCTGGCGTGCGCCACGGATAATATGTGACGGATCGCTGGCCCTCGCGAGGGAGATGGTCAGTTTCAAGAGCAACAATGTGCCGAGGTATCTGACGATATTTGTTGCGGATGCTATTGAATAGCAATGGTGCATTCGAGGGGAATGTGAGTTCCGTGAATGTTTGTAATATCGGATTATTCTGCACTGCCAGCAGCGATCGAGCGACTTTAGCTCTACTCGTACCCCGTCAGCCGCGAGTCCGCGTTGCGTAACACTGCATCGTATTCAATTTTGAGTCGTCCACCTGCTTCGCGAACAACTTCACTGCTGATCGGCGCTCCCACTGCAAGCGTTCACTGCGACAATTCCACTATGATCAGCCCGATCGGGTAGTTTTCCAGCTGAAATAACAGACAAATTAGCGGCGCTCCCCATTGGCACAGCTGCGAGCGCGCAACGACCAATTCGCGAGTCTCTCGACGCGCGAGCGGCTCCGTTCGGGCGGACTACAGAGCAGCGAGAAGAGAGGAACGCGACCGAGGTCGAAATTAGCCCGCAGAGTGCGCGCGGTGGCGCGTAATCGGAGGCAAAACGAGGCCCGAAATCGGCGAGCAAAACAACTGGGCGGCACACCGCCGTCGGCTATTCCGCGCGACACAAGCCAGAAGCCAACACGTGTCCAACTTCCTCTTCTGTGCGCGCGGACACGGTGCCGCCGCGGCTAATGCCCTCCGCGACCTTTTGCTCCACGAGTGCAATGATGCGCCTCTCCCTCGCTTCTTTTCTCGCGGGGATGCCCCTTTGTCAAACGCTATTGTCGGCTGGAGAGCGGCGCGCCTGTCTTTTTTTCTCTCTTCGCCCTGGCGCGTTCACGGCCAAGAACAACCAAGCCACGAGGATATAATTAATCAGACCGGCGGAGGAGGGGAGCGGGATCCTCTTGTTTCCCGACAGATTTCGCGCAAGAAATAAAAATTTCAATGCTTTACGAGGTTCGCGACACGTGTTCGTGCTCAGCGTGAAATTTCCATTCAGTTGGAGCGCGCGCGCGCGCGTAAACATGTAAGTGTCGCGCTCGCGGGCCGCTTATACGCTACTCCAAACGATTTCAACGATCTACGAGATTAAAATTAAAACGCATCGCTTTGTTTTAATACGCGCGGCTGAATACGTTTGAAAAAACTGAAATGAGCAGGCCGGCTGCTCGTCAAAGCGCGGTTGCGTACGCTTCGCTTTCGTTTCGCTACGCGTCCAGCGAGCCGCGCGTTCCGCGTGGATTTTCGTAGTTTTTTTTTTTCTTTTTTCTAGAACTCGACGTTCGCGTCTTCGCGAGGCGCCGAGGCCTTCGACGGACCTTGCGGTTCATCGCAATTATCGCGTCGAATCGTAACGGGACAATCGCTCGGACGCGCCGAACCCAAGCTTGATGATTACATTGACCAAATGATCGGCAAGTCGAGAGAGACTGGTGCAATCCGTCGTCGACGCCTGTGTTCCCCGTATAAACAATCGGACGCGGGAGAGCGCGGCTCGCGTGACACGGTGAACGCGCTCAAGGCCGTGGGACGCCGGAAGCGCGGCGCTCGCCCAAGCACGTCCGATTCCGCGTGTCCGTTAAAAGCGTAGAGGCAAGCGATAGGGCGCTTCGATCCCGGTGCATTGTCGGCTCGCCCTCGGGCATAACCGACGCGCGTGGTCCTTCCTCTCCCTTGCCCTGGTGAATGACCGTTATCGCGGCCTCGCGATTGAGACGTCGCCGCGCGGCGCGATAAGTCCATTGTTTACCGACGGCCAATCTTAAATTTTACGCTTGCCTCGTTTGTGGAAACACCATTGGCGCGCTTATCTATCGGCGCGACTGCTCGGATTAATGGCATTTTACGCGCCGAGCGAAAGCAGCCGGCGTAGATACGGCAGCGCGGTCGGATCTCCCGTCGTCGCGCTCGACGGATCGATAGGCCGCGGCGCGTCGACGGAAGTCGCTCGGTCCCGTCGAAAGCCATCGCGTCAGGCCTACGACGGGTCGCGCGCGGCTTTTCCTCCGCGTACCGCCGCGCCGGTGGATCACTCGACTAGCGGCCGCGCGTACAGCGCACGCGAGAGGAGCAATTTTCATTTGGCCGTCCGATGTGCGTGGTGCGCCGCTGCCACCGCCGCCGACTGCTGCACGCGCGCCAGAGTTCATCGCACCCTGCGCTTGGGCTCGCGGCCTTTGTTGTCCTTCTAGTCCTTTACTGGGCTTGCCGTTTTTCCGCCGTGCGGGCCGCTTAGCATCTCGTTAATTACGGATCCTCCTTTTTCTTTTGGCCGCGGGGCTCCAATCACGTGGAAACGAGGCGCGCATGCTAACGAGACGCACCGATTCACTTCGCCCGCCGCCCCGCACGCCGCCATCAATTTCTAACGATGCGATCGCAAGGAATCCAGTTGGTTTTCCGCTTTGCGAGGAGAGACCGGACGCGCTTCATTTCCATTTCTTTTCTCTCGCTTGTCCGGAACCTTCATTTATTTTTCATTCGAACGAGCAGTTCTGGCTTTTCAAACGCCGTCATTCTCATGTTAATTAACGAGCCGACGCTCGGTGGCCTATTATAAGAATTCGTCTGATTTCTTCGAGTGCATTGAAGTTGCGCGGTATTGCCTGTCCAGTCTTATCCTGCGTTTCTCTTCTTTTGCCTATCAAATATCCTTGACACCCATTCAAGTTGCAACCGTGGGTTTTTTTGAGGAAGGAGCAATCGATCCTTTGACGAGACCGCGAAGCATTGGACTTGAGCGCGCTAGGAGGCGTTACGCGTTCGACGAGCTCGTAAAAATAATGCCAAGTGCAAAAAGGCGCGACGGACGCGAGAGAAAAACGAAGGAAAAAGGCGTTTTTCATGGCAGCTGCAAGACCGGAAGGTCGTACACTCCCCCTAGCTCTAGGTGATAATTGCCGGACGGCAGGTGATGAGGCATGGAAAAAGAGCGTCTATCCGAGTTTTAAGGGGAGAGAGCGAGGCTGTCGATCGGGTTCACCGACGGAGCGAGTTTGCTTGCGTGATGAAATTACCAGGAGGCCAAAAAAGCCAAATTTTTTCTTTCGATTCTTTCCCTCTAATTACATGCTGTCTTACAATCTGACTGCAAGAGCTCGCCTACGTTCTATAGCTCAACTACGAGCCGTAATAAAGTTAGATGCATATAGCAATATCTTCCTATCAGAAATGAAAAATCTTCAACGACCTTTGACAATGTTAAAAATCAATGCTTTCCCGTATGATCGAACAGACCGCCGCAGGATAGGCATTCATATACTTTGCTACTTGTACTAATCCCCTTTGAGCGTGAGAACAAAGGAACGATATAAATAACGTGCGCTGTGTTTTGATTTTCCAGCGAGCAGCTGCAGTCGCATCGCCATCTGCCGGTGAGCCTGCGCAACTCAGTGCAGTTCAGCACTCAGCAGCACCAGCAGACGCAGCACCAGCAGCAGCAGCAGCAGCAGCAGCAGCAGCACAATCACCCCCACAGACATGAACCGGCGGTGGTCTTGTGCTATTGCCAGCCACCCCCGACCATCAACAACTGCCAGACTGTGTCGCGCGGCTGCGCCCTGCATCCACGGTCAGTAAAGTCGCTGCCCTCTCTTACCGCCCCCTTGGTTTCGTTTCCCGCTGGATAACGCGGGAGCCGTGCCAATGACGAGCTTTCAATTGCCAGCTTTGCTCGACGATAAAACCAGACGCGGTGCGATTTATCAAATTCATTCGCGCGCGCAGAGTAGCCAGCAAAGTAGTGCGCATCCGTTTTCACGATCGGATGCACCCAAATGATAGGCGCCGCTCCAGCAACGGAACAATTCAATATACTTTCGGATGTATTCGTAGCGGCGAGAACAAAGCTGCAAACTCATTTTATCGCGGGTTCAATTACTTCGCGAGCAGCAAAATTAACTAATAACCACGCAGAGTTTGTGCAAAGCCAGCTAAAGATGGCCGAAAAAACGTTTCTCCTTTTTTTTTTGCTCCCCTTTCCATTTCCTCCAAAAATAACTTGGTAATTACTTACGCTGAGCATAGTGCTGTCTCAATTTCCGTTATTGCTTTGCAGCGCACTGCAGGCCCACCGCCGCCTCAAATAAACTGCAGAAAGAATGTACGGCTAGCAATTTTCAATAGCCGAGTGCTGCTGGTTTGCCGCCGCGGTTCGCTCGTGGAAGCCACGTGACAGGGGGCAGGGGAAACGCGCGAGCAGCGCAATTTGCACGCGACCGAGGGCGAATTTTAACACCCATCTCTGCTTTTCTTCGTCTTCTCCCCCCCCCCCCCCCCCCCCCCCCCCACGTACAGTGCTGGCACACGCTATGTCGAATTCCTCGCGCCCCTTTCATCTGACTCATAAACTGCTATACTTTAAAAACTTGACTGTTTCTTCCTGGACAAGGGATATAAAATTAAAGAAGTACGTAACTCCATATTAAGTGTCTAATGAAATCTCGATTCCGCGAGCGAGGGAGAGTATCGTATTATTTTCCTAGCTGTCGGCGGACTTTAGCCAGCCGAGGAGACCCAGGTATAAAGTGATTAATAGTGCGGCTATTTCATCGTCTCGAGGATTTGCACTTCTCTCACTCTGCTTTTTCTCGTTAACTCCGTGAGTTTTTCATTCCCTAACCTAACCCCTTCTCCCCTCTTTCGACTTATCCGATTATCTTCTTTCGGTTTTTTTTATCTCGGAATTTTATCACTTCTCTCGAGATATAGATTCGCAGAAAGAAATTCAGTCTGGCATTAAGGGAATGCTAATCAAGCTTCAACAGTGTCTAATTAACAGCCAGAGTTCATATAGTTTGGAAAAAATCCTCTTTCAGTTCGTAAATTTCAACACTCTCGAAGCATGTCTGCCAGTAACAACAAGAAACTTCAGAACCGGAACGCAATTAGGCTACGTATACGCCAACTTTCGTCAAACTTTGGCTGCCATGTGGAGAGATAGGAAGAAAGAATAAAAAAAAAAGAAAAAATTAAAGCCAGACACTGCACATAATCAGAGAGTAGTTGCCGAGCGCAGTTTGCTCTTAATCAGCCACGCGCGCGGTTAACTTTTCGTTTCCTTTCGCATCGACAATCGTCGGCTGAAAATAAAACGGGGCTTACTTTCCGCTTACGTTCCCTCATAGTTCCAAAATGCCACCGAGCGTGACGCGTCACTTTTCATCGCAATATATAGAAGACATCCGGACAACGTGGATACCTAAGGATTATTCTGCGATGATTTCGTTTAAACAATTCAAATTCTGACGAAGGATTATTTTTTTTCTTGAAGAATTATATCCAAATATGTCTTCTGAAAATTTTATAATGTCGAAAATTCACTCTCAGAGCCTTCAATCAGAAGTCAACTTTCGGATTTTCAAAAAATGCTGGGCAATGCGTCGGTAACTTCTTTCGGATGCATGCGAACAAAATTCTGACGACTGAGTCTTTTTCCTCTTTCAAAAATCTATCGGTAATCCTCGCTTAAATTTGTTCAATATGAATAATCACGTTGTTAGAGCCGATTAATAAAAGAAAAAATATGGATTTCGAAAAAATTTTTTTTTCGATCAAATTGCTATTTGAATTATAAGAAAAATAGATTATGCACTAATAAATGAACACATATATTGAAAATATAATACTGTTTATTTTTCAAATTCAATGTTGTTTCAAAAAATTAAACGTCTGTTTAATTATAAATGGATAGTAATTTCAATTAAGAAAAGTATAGTAGGTGTTGTGTAAAATACTTGTAATTGAGATCAGATTAAGTTAACTTATCAGTTTGATTATCAATAATTGCTTAAAAAACTAACTCTTTATCAATTGGTACACGCGATTAGATACCCATAAAAGCTTGTTAAAGCGTTTAAATGTGCATCACAATCGAAATTATTAGAAAAAAGATTTGAAACCGCTCTTCAGCTACCATCCTCTCTCTCTCTCTCTTTCTCTCTCTCTCTCTCTCTCTCTCTCTCTCTCTCTCTCTCTCTCTCTCTCTCTCTCTCTCTCTCTCTATGTACGCTGACGTCAACTTGCGGATATTTCTCGTAGCTTAGTGATATGATTATACTCCACTAATCATTCAAAAATAAGTTTAAAACTACAGCTAAATGTATATTAATTTATGTATTTAATTCACTTAAATTGAGATTGAAACAATATTGATATTTTCTAACATTTTATATTAAAGTGAGTAGAGTTGATAGAAATGAAAATCTAATAAGTATTTTAGAAAGCTCAAAACGCGTATTAAACGATGGTACGATTAGATTTTGTCGATACTATATATGTTTATATATATATCTGGTTAGAGAATCCAGAGTCGGTGCACTACTACTAATGCTGCTGCTGCTGGTCCCAGCCCTATAAATAACTCGCTCGCTAGCCATAGATCCTTTAACCCGGACTTCCTTCCAGGCCTGTAAAGCCCTGTTTAAGCCATGTAAAAACCTTGGCCCACGAGAGTTAGGGGGTCGCCGTGCCTGCTGCTGCACCCAGAGAAAAAGAGCCGAGAGCTTACTCCTTACTTACGATCTAGACGACAGATATTGGGAGCGACTTTTGTCCAGTTCTAAATGCATCCGTGCTCGTTTATTAGGTTTTTTAGAGGATGCCCTACCAGGGTTTTTCGTAAATAATTGCTGACTTGTGCGATGCAGTAACTGTTGGAGCAATGAAACTTTATTGAAATATATTTCGAGGAGAATGACGCGCAAGGATTTGACCAATTTACGATGACAAAAAGGTGTAGGAAATGTTGCTTACTCGAAAGCTTTGCGAAGCGTTCGATCTGCGCCAGATTCATCGTACAGTACGCTTTGAACTCGGCAAGTTTCACTGTCACGTTGATACGCCAATAGTTGGCTGAAATTGTGTATCTTGCCGCGGCGTCGTGTAACCAACTTGCCGATGCGCGTGCGAAACTTGGGAACGCACAATATTAGGAGGCTATCCGTTAGTGCGCGATGCAACCGCGTCAAATCGTCGGGCAGCAAGCGAGGATCGATGCCGCGGTGTTTACCAGAGCCTTTATTAACGCGGTGCGGGGATCGGTCTCGCCGTTAACCAAACAGCTTCGGATAAATCAGGAGCGCAACTGCCCAAGGGAGTCCGGACGCTTGCCCGTATTTCACCACGGATAAAACGTTACGTGTAATGTCGCCGCGACAGCCACGAGGCTAATTTTTTAATTATACGTAAGCTGGAAGCCAGTACTATGCACTTTGCACTAGGAATTTCCACATTACGCGCGAAATAAGAGTTTCTTATTGCGCGATACGCGTGATGAGATCGTTCGCCTGAAAATGCAAGTTTATGCTGTTAATAATAAGCCCTCGTTTTCATCGAATCCTCATTCTACACAATCGTATTCTCAGCAACGGCAAAGCGCATAAGGTCGACTTGCGTATACGCGGAGAGCGAAAATTATTGAGCCTCAGCAAATACTAAATCCTGCGTAATGCTGACCGGCAAACTTGAGCTTTTGGGCATGACAGCTTAACGTATACGCACGCGGCTACAACCTCGTCTCCCCCCCCCCCCCCCTTTCCTATCCGCAATTTTTCATTTTGTTCGTCCTTCACGGTATACACTCGTACGGCTGGTTGTAATCTATACGGATGCTGTTTCGCAAGCGTGACGAGTTTCGCTTCAGACTTTAATTAAGCTGCTATCGATGTATACTGAGAACTTCAAGCCCCAGACGACTAGACGCGTTATTTCCGAGTACCTCTACGAAGTAGCAGGTAGAGGTGACCTCCACCATCAAATAGCGTTAGGCTTATGGATAATGACTTAATATTGATTAATGAGTTTATAAACAGAGTAACAATTGTATCGCGATTTTTAGATCTTGAAATAGTAATAATAACAATTTTGTAACGATATAGGATCCAAATTTAAGCAACACTTGATGTAACAAAAATACCAAAGTTTCTAACACAATTTAACTCGGTGACTCAACACCATTCTTTTGAATATTCATTCTTTAGTTAGGCGCTGCTTAAGAAACCTCCAAGACTCGATATCTGCCAAATTTAACGAGATAGTGAACGGCTGGGAATAAAAATAAATTGACGGATAGGTCACTGTAGGAAACTAGAGCATTGTCCTGAAAAGAGAAAGAAAAAAAAACAGGAGCACCGGATTGCACCGCGTCAATGTAATTTAACTCGCGGGTGCGAACTTCCCGCCCTGACCCTCGAGAAAATAAGAAATTAACTGAGAGATAGATGTTGCTAAATGTGGGTCGTGGAGAAATCTCGCGGGTAACAAATTGCGCTGGCGAACGGAGCGCAGCGAAGCAGGCAAAATAAAAGAGAGGAGTCGAAGTTGGAAGCACACCAAATGTAAAAGCTTCTTAGCCCTGCGCGTATGGTGACCTCCTTCTCTCCGCGTTGGATATGCCGGGTTTCCTCGTTTTTCCTGATTTTCTCCTCGGTGGTTGTAAACTCGCGACGCGCGCGCCGGCTCAGCTGGACTTGCCTCTCGGCTTTCCTTTTCCTTCGCCCGTGAAAAATCGAAGCCACCGAGGGTGCGGTAGGATGAAGAAATAGACTCAACAGGCAACGAGCGGATGTTTCT